GGCTGACCCCGCTGCGGGGCCGGCAGGAGCGGGGCGAAAAGAGAAAAAGGAGGCTCGGCTGCCGGGTCAGCTGCCGCGTAACCGGCCCCACTGAGCCGGGTGGCCCCAGGGTCGTCGGAGGCCCCGACCTGGCTCCCGGAAAGGCGGTGTGTCCGGGCTGGGGAACGCCGGACCTCACTGATCTGCCCTCGGTGATGGAAAGGGCTTTTCATCTGGATAAGGCTTCGCACTTTACAGACCGTTTCTCCGTTTGTTGTCATTTGATAAAACACTTGTAAGGCCGAAACCGGTTTGGCTCAGTGGATAGAGCGTCGGCCTGCGGACTGCAGGGTCCCGGGTTCGATTCCGGTCAGGGCATGTACCTTTTTGTGGGCATATCCCCCGTGGGACATGGGCAGGAGGCAGCTGATCGATGTTTCTCTCTCATCGATGTTTCTATCTCTCTCCCTTCCTCGCTGTAAAAAAAATCAATAAAATATATTTAAAGCAAACAAACAAACAAAAAAAAAAACACTTGTAAGAATGGCAGGAATCGATGCACTTGAAAAAGCAGTCGTGAAAGGATGCCTTTTCATGCGACAGAGAGGTGGGAGCTGAATCCTGAAGGCGAGTGGCCTGCCTCTCGGGTTTATTCTCTCGTGCGGGACGGGGTGGGGCGGGCCCCACTCCTGTGAGGGGCCATGTAACGCACACCCAGCTGTTCCAAACGCTATTTTCCATTTGTTTAGTATACAAACGATGCTTACAAAATATTACACTTAATGTTTACACACACACACACACACACACGAGTCAGTTCTTGCCCTGGCCGGGTAGGTGACGGGCAGAGCGTGGTGCAGACACTGGAAGGTTCCGGCTCAGTCCCCGCTCAGGGCACACACCAGAAGCGGCCATGAATGCATGAAGAAGTAGGACAACAAATCGATGTTTCTCTCGTCTCCCTTCCTCTGTCTCTAAAATCCATAAATAAAAATGTTAAAAAAGAGTAAACTTGAAAATCATGTGTTAAGCAATACTTCAGTCTGTACTTTTGATATGGTTTTTCTATAGATACAAATTTTATTTTTCAGACATTGTATTTTTTAGTTATATACTATTATGAACCAGTTTACAGTTTTATGGACCCATCTATGTGTTCCAGATACAAAGGCTGTTTACTCAGTCCCTTGCGTTAGACAAAGTAACAGATCCATTAAGCCTTTTGTATTTAATTATACTCTGGTTTTTAACATACCACTCCTACCTTTTTCATTTCTACTCATCCGCACTTAAGAAAGAACATAGAAGGAAGTTAGGAAAGGTAATCTTGGTGATAGCTATGATTTATTCAGGGACTGTTCCAAGTGAGGCATTTAGTAATTCATTTCATTCTCCTAGCATCCTGCAGGAGCTAGGCATGTTACAGCTTTTCAGATGAGGAGTCTCAGGACCAGAAAGGTTAATTTGCTTGCCTGAGGGCACACAGCTAGGGTGGTGGATGATCTGACGCCAAATCATTCTCTTAACCACTGTGTCCTTCCGTCAACCAGAAAACAGTGGATACTGTTTCCACCTACACCCTTACTGCAAGAATGACCCTTCTCCCTCACCTCCCAAGTGCAATCGCTAACTCTTGTCAAGATAATATGTCTTTGTCAATATTTTTTCATTCTAGCCCCTACCAATCCATCCTGCATTACAGCCAGTCATCTAGCACATGAATCTCATGGCACTCCCTGCCTCTATCTTTTTCATCACCAAACAGGACAACTTATAGAGTCACCCAAATGCACCATATTCACAGGCTTTGCAAATGCTAGTTCCTCTTTCTCACTATCTCCCCCGTGTTTGCAAAATAAATGCCTATAGATGAAGATAAAACAATGTTTCCGCAGACTTCTTAAAACAATTATTTTCTAAATAACTCACTTGCCAACCAAATATTACATTTTATCTTGTAATATTATCTTTACTCAGGGGATACCTTACTGAGTTCATGTGATGACGTGGGACTATAGAGTGCTAGAGATAGCTAAAATACAGTCTGGGCCTCCAGGAACTTGTAATTACTAGGAGAGAGAAATATGCACACAACTACCTAATAATCTGAATGAGTCAGAGTGGCTTGCTCCTCTACAATGAAACCTCTGTAAGGGTGTAGGGGATGCAGCTGGGACAGGGAGAGGTAGACAAGATGGACAGAACAATTGATAAGGCCCAGATCTAGGCAGGAGGGGATCTACAACAAAGTGGAAAGAATTGAACTTAAACAGAAGGCAGCACTTTTTAAAATATATATATCTATTTTTTATTGATTTCAGAGAGGAAGGGAAAGGGAGAGAGATAGAAACACCAATGCTGAGAGAGAAGCATTGAACGGCTGCCTCCTGCATGCCTCCTTCTGGGGATCAAGCCCGCAACCCGGGCATAAGCCCTTGACTAGATTTGAACCCAGGACCCTTCAGTCCAGAGGCCGACACTCTGTCCACTGAACCAAACCAGCTGGGGCCAGAAGGCAGCACTTTAATCTGAAACCAGAAAGGATGAGAGCAGAGGCTGAACTTCACAGCTTGTTGTTGGTGGTGGTGGTAATCCTCACCCAAGGATATTTTTTCCATTGATTTTTTTTTTTATTTTTAGAGAGAGTAGAAAAGGGGGAAAGAGACACAGAGAGAAACATTGATGTGAGAGACACACATTGATTGGTTGCCTCCCACAGGGCCCAGGCCCCGGGGATAGAGCCTGCAACCGAGGTACCTGCTCTTGACTGGAATTGAACACACGGCCCTTCATTCTGTGGGTGTACGCTCTAACAACTGAGCCAACCCAGCGAGGGCCACAGTTTTGTTCTAGAACATGCACAATGATGCTCCCCTTTCCTCTGAGAAACCAGAGCCTTTCATTGGAAAACTGTTTGCAAAAAGAGAAGGAAAGAGGTAACATGAAGGTCATGGAGATTGAGGCGTATAAAGAATCAAATACTAGTGAGGGCCTAGGGGCTGAGCTGGGCCTGTTAGTGACTCGGTGCAGACAGATGTATTCTGCCTCTGGTGTGACCACATGCAGGGACGTGGGCTCACAAAGGCAGCTGAGGCCAGGAGGCTGAGGTCACTTCTCTTCGATGTATTTGACATCCCTAGGCCCCCGGTCAAAGACTTCATCGCAGACGTGCAGGATTCCTTATGTGGCCTGTGTTCACACAAGTCTTACCTATAGGATGTGATTCTACAGCTCTTTAGAGAAAAGGCTCACGCTCCTTTGTGTTAACAAGGCAATTGCTGGTGAGGTCGCAGCTGAGTCATGAGTGGAGGGTGGCATCTGAGCATTAAACAGTTGCATAGGAAGAGAGTCGAGACCCACCATTTTACACATAGCAGTGAGCAAAAGTAGGTTGACAGTTTTTCATATGGGAAATAGTGCAATAATCCTATATAATAAAGAGCTAATCTGAAAATGGTCGTCACGCCCTCACATCCTCACGCCATCACTCTGTAACTGCTCAGGCACTCAACACTTGGGAGAGAGGAATGGGGACCAGCCAGGCACAAATGAGTTTGTGAGAGAGGAATGGGGACCAGCCAGGCTGCAGCCCGGGAGAGGGTCAAGCCGTCCGCCCATGGTCCTCTGTGGCTGTGGCCGGCCCAAGAGAAGCCGTCCCT